GTTGGTCACAGATATGTGGAGAGACTGAAGGTTGAACAGACATGTAGTCGCTTAGGATCATCTCTTTCATGGGTACAGTAGAACATGGCTAAAGTTACAACTCAGTCTGCCGTGGAGCTTAATCGACGATGACACAAATACACAAAAGATTAATAGCTCTGCTTACTGTAGATTAATGATACCATACACGTTGAGGAGAATCCTTCAAATAGTTTTAGCATTAACTATTTCGACGAAGAGGACACTTTGTCGCAAGCGAGTTTTCGTTTAGAATGTTTTGCTAGCACTTAAACTGGCCTCTTTTTCTACGCTTCCTGTTCGGTTGCCGAACGAAGGATCATTCTTGCCGTGTTTCCTGTGTTCTAAGTAATTTAACCAGGTCAGAGTAGGAGCGGTTGTCTTTGTTATTCATAGAACTTCTTTAGTACGGTAGTTCTGAGTATGCGAAGGTTCGTTATCTCACGATATTACTTAGCCGTGACAGTATTGCATGGGCAGCTTCGAGGGAAGTGGTTCAACTTATCTTAGCATTTCAGAACCGCTTCATCGAGGACTAATCCTTTGAACATGGTAACCTTCGTTTTAATAATTGTTTACCGGTATTTCGATACTGCGTTCAGCTTTGGAAACTTTGCTACTTTGAGTCGTAAGCTCTGATGAACTTTTACGCCTTCCCTCTTCAGTGATCGCTGAACTCTGATGCTTCAGATGGTTCATTTTCCTCCACCGTCGTACCGTTCCATTCGATCTCATATGTCACTGCCGATTCCACTGATTACCATTGTTTTTGTCACGTTGGCTTGCAGCACCATATCCTGTACTGTTTTTGAAAACACTGGAAGTAATGGCATCTTCTAGGCCATTGAGGCCGGAATCGTTGTCAGAACGATGTTGTCTGTTTACTCGAATGCTGTTAGTTATGTTCTGACAGGAAAGTTTTTTGTCTCGTTGAAAACCGCATTTGATCCATGACATGTCTGTCTGTAGGTACAGTAGAAAGGTGTGCGTAAAACTGAAGTTTAAAAAGTGAGTTTATCATGACAGGAACATCATTATTACCATTATTTAAATACTGTATGCTAAAAGCACTTAGGAGGATATTGAGCGCTTGTCCCTCTAGGGGCCTTTAAACCAACCTATGTTGCATAATTGATCGGCGAAGGACCGCTTCCGTGAATTTTCGATACTGCGTTCTAACCGAAAAGAAGTTTCCAACTGAAACCAATCAATGAACCACCTACGTGCGCATGCTTGACTAACTTGATTTATTGTGTATCTCAAAGGGTTGTCACATTCCCATTCTTGCCCCACTTAATGTTGTTTTCTGCCCTGTGTCATATATCGTATGATTGCAAGCCTTGTTCTTGTGCCGGGCTTGGCTTAGAGTTTGTCGATAACAGGGTCCCGGCTCCTCCATAGTCCTTTCATCTCTACTTCTATTTAACCATGAATTTTTGCATTTGTCCCTCGTCTAGGGAAATCAGCATGAGTTCAGCACATTGCACATCATGTTGCTGATCAACCAGTTGTCGTTTTGGGAGGGGTGGGGTGTTAGTCTGCGGTGTAGGAGTGAAAGTTGAAAGTTTTAGTTTTTAAGTCATCAAAGGGAAATTTATACTATTCCCTGTTCGATGTGCTAGCATCCTTCAGTAATTCAGCATTCGAGATCTTATGAGTTAGTCTGTAGCCGAGTATTCTGCACAGACACAGACAAGAGCGTTCACATACCTCTAGGGCATTGGTTTCCTTTTTAGTAAGAGTCCATGGTCCTGCAGCATGCGTGAGTACTGGTCGAATGGCTACCAGATATACTCGCAGTTTCACTAAAGTACTGAAGACTATGAAAGCTAGGAAGACGAAGCAGCTACTACTATCTGAACCAACCGGCTAAAGATCCCGGGGATGGCAAAGAATAACCTGCAGCGTGTGTCAAAGGATTCTGCTCGAGAGTCGTGATATTTTTGCCAAGATTCAAACGCTGACAGAGGATCAGCAACTTTGCAGATACCGTATAGCGTGTCTGCCTCCGCGACCCGATATTATAAACTGACCGACCGACTGACCGACTGACTGACTAACTTTCATCGATCACTAGGGCAGAACCATACAGCGAATTTATGATTAACGGTGTTTTGCAGTTGAACTCATAAATAGCTGAATTTGCTAATTTGAACAAACACCAAATGCTCTGATGAATATATGGATTACAGCAATACAGAAATCAAGAAGTGAACGGTATACACATTCATCGGTGTTTTCTTGAAGGTATTAATTTTTAATATGAAAAGTTCAGATTTTAAGCTTCAAGAAGGGCCGAGTCCGATTTTGATCTGAATGATCAATTTCTTGTTTAAAAAATGATTCTAAGTAATATGATAAGTTAGTGCAATCTGAAAACAGCACAAAGCACGGTATATTATTACTTGTGATTGCAAACTTACGAACTGCTGATGGAGACTAGAAGGACTTCCGAAGCTCATTGACCTCTCTGCCTTGAGGACAAGGACAGAAAAATCAGCACTGGTCAATCAGACGATTGACCAAATTGTTGACATACTGTTTGCTGCTTTCAAATAATTCCTTATGCATATTTATGCAGTATAGAATATATGTTAATGTTCATAGTGGTAATCCGTCCATACTGGCCGATAAAGAAGAAAATTCTTTCGCGGGTCACTGCAGATCGGTAATGACGGTGGTGGCGGTGATTGTCATTGTCATCTTTCAACAGCCTTGCGAACCTTAAAGTTATTTTAAACTTCGTATTGTCCGCTCATCTCAACATTTAACATTTGGATATTAGGAGATGTTTACTCCGTTGACATGCGTTAGATTTCCCCTTGACAACAGATTGCTGTAAAGTTTCCTCTGGCCATATTTCGGCTACCAGCTCCACTGTTGTCGAGTCATTGAAGTGAAGCTTGGTGGCTTGTTTGCTTGTAGTAAACAAACTGAGTCAAACCTCGGTCTCTGAGTAACTAGGAAATTGGTTTGAAATCGGCTAATGCAAGAACATGATCGTTCATCATATGATTGTACCATTGGAACTTCAGCATGCTTTGTAACCAGCGTTGTTGCAGACTATCAGCCGGTGCTGGTTCGCTTTACTAAGCGCAATTGTTTCCTGCCCATGGAGCGTAACTGGCCTGAAAGCAACGCAGCAGATTCGGATCTTAATGGAGATTGTTATTCTCCTTTCAGTCCAGACTTTGACAGGCTTTTAAACCTAAATGAAGCTGACATAATCTTCGTGCACTTCGTTGTCCATTCTCGATAGCGTTGTTTCCATGGCATACGTTGCTTGTATGGTTTCGACCAAACGGATGGTTTACCACATGGCTTTCTAAGCCTCTGCCTGCATTAAAATCATGGTATAAACTTAAACATACACAAGGCGACATTTAGGCTTTGGTCTAGGGGTATGTTTGGTGATAAAAAACCAGTAAACCGTATATTGCAGGTCGAAATGCAATTACAGCTCAGATTTAATGCATCCTTGTTTGTACTGGCGTATGTCAGTGTTGACGGATTACAATTCTGGACTACATTTCTGTGATCATTTACTGTTTACGTGAATCCTATAGTGTTCAGCTAGCATCACTACAATCGAAACACTTTTTGTTAGTTCCGAATGGCGAGTTCTGTTGTTTTTGTGCAATTGTAAAAGCAGGATTAATCATATATTCATTCCGGTTCTGCTCTGTTACTTGATCCTTCTTCAATATGTTGTGTGCATCTCGTTACCTGTCGACCTCGACTTCGACTTCGACCTCATGACTTCTGATGCTTGTGTCTGAGGTTAGTTATTTGGCAAAGTTCACATTGTTTCGCTCCAGTTGTTGTGTTTCCGCTCTGCAGTCCATCCGTAGTTGTCCTTCATCCGCTCCCTCAGCGACCTCTGACCTGATTGGTCGCACTGACTTAGTTTTCCGTCGCATCTTGTTATTCTAGCTAATTTAACCGTCGATCAGCGACTATCCATATATGATTACGTGTTCATCGTGAAAACAAACGCCACTGTTGTCGACCGATCATTGATGTCCGACCGGCCACCGGACCGTGCTTGGCACAAATAGACGTCGACATTCCGTTTTCGATTTGAAGCATCCGCCGACGGCTATCGAGCGGTCATCCACTGGTCAACTCGGTCAACAGTCGTTGGAGATTTCCTGTGCGTCACATGTATGTCATAGTCGTTGTGCCTGATGTGCACGATGTCCGAAAAATTGGCCTTGTTGCCACCATTGCCACCGCCTCCGTCCTCCTTGCCTCCTTGTCGATATGTGAATGTAAGCGATTGCTGGGTGCCGATTTCAGCTGTGGTCAGTATTAAACGCGAACACGAACGATGATGCTCGCGGAAACGATGACCAGCGGTATCTCAAGAAGTGACAGTCGTCACAGTCGTCGTCGTCGTCGTAGGAGGTGGCTGCGACCTTTCGCTGGCGCTACTTCCACGGCTTTAATCCGTGCCTGCGACAGCCTCAAAAGCGTTCAGCCCTTAGCCGTTGTCATCCAACCGAACGGCCCTCTCGGCCGCAGGTCATACGCTTTTGTCCCTCACCGTTCCTCCTCTTCCTTGTCCAAGTACGAATTCCTGTTACAGCGAAAACGATATGTTTCTTAAATATGTTGATCATTATCGATAGTTGTTCCGTCATGCTTATAAACAAATTGTTAAAGCCCATTCTTATTTAAATCATACTATGCAATAATGATACTTCGAATGACCGAATCTTCAACAGATCGAACATTATTTCATAAAACACTTATTTGATCTGTTCGAGATTGATATTTGGCCAGTCGAAATATTATTACCGTACGATTATATTTTATCCAACAGAACAAACGGCTGTAGGAACTCTTACAGATCGATTGATGAGTGAGCTGAAGAAGTTTGTTCAAACAAGACAGATAAAATGGCAGAAAGCAAATTTGACATGTTTTACCGATTCATGGTTGAGGGCTCAAAACAATACGGAGGTGAACACTCTTATTACCAATGCGTTTTATTACAAACTCCGTAGCATCATCAAGGTACAGCTGATTGTCAGACAGCTAGGCATCTTTTTCAACAAAATGCGTCGATTTAAACTGAGTGACAGGTTGAGACCAAATTTTATGCATAATATTCATAACTTTAAATTTTACAGTTTGGTCTGTAAGTTTATCGTTCCAGATTTCTTATCACGTTCAGCAATTGTGTCACTTATTTAAAACAAAAGCTTCTGGCATAGTCTTGAACGAGCCTTCATCCAGTAGTGGACAGAGCAAGGCTGATGATGATGAGGGTGATTTAAGTAACGTCAAGATGAAAAACAATATCCGCTGGATTCACATGGTTTTTGATCGCTTCTGGCTAAAGTCGATGACGCTTGGAAGACTGGAACAAAGGCATGATTATCCTGATGTTCAGGAATGGGAATCGCCCCTGATTGCACTACTTTCGAGGAATCACCCTACTGCCAGTTCTGGGGACGTTATTAGAGAGAATTTTTCTTGGACGACTTAACGTTATCCATCGATCGAACAGGCTTCTGATATGGGTACTTACTCACGGACAACATCTCGGTGAATTAACCTGCAGTGTTGGAACTTCAAACTACTCTGGTACGCGACGTTGCTGGATTTCCGGGTATCCTTTGATTCAGTTCATATTCGGACATGTTATTTACGTCACTAAGAGATTTTACAGGTGATGATAAAAGTGATTGAAGGTCTGTTTGTACGAGCGGACTAAATGCGCCGTCTGAACTGAAGTATCGCTCTCGAGCTGGTTCGACATCAGCAATGACGAGGTGGTCTCACCTTTGTTATTCAGCTTCACAGCGGATTAATTTATGCAGAAGTAGAATAGGTCATCTCAGTGACGAGATATCCTATGATATTCATGATGTAAAATGTAGAAAATCCTCTTTGAGGTACACCTGCTTACGGAAGGGAATTTTATCTTTTGCCACAACAGTGAACTTGGTCCATGATCATTCTGAGGTACCATTTCTAACGGCGATCAGACATCATAGATTTGCACTGCTCTAATATTTAAGCTTTGTTAACTCCGGACGACGATGACAAAGCCGCAACAGCAATATAACTTACTATTTATGCTGCGTGGTTTGTTCCATTGATTCAGGCCGACGGAAGGATTGGCGTCTTCTATATTGAACCACAAGGAACCATCACGACATATCTTCGTCGTGTCTTCCGTGATGAAATCGTTGATGGACAGTTTTCAGATACTTAATTAAAGTATTTTAATATTAAACTCGGTTACAGCGAAGATTTGGTCTGAAAATCAATTTTCTTCTTTCCTCGCATGGACAAACACTGGATATTTTTAGTGGCATTAGGCGACTCTCAAAGCGTGACTACGATTTTGTTAGTGACCAGTGGATAGCGTCACTATTCGCTCGTCTGAAACAACCAAATACTTAGGCATGGTGTTCTTTGGCATGAGTTTAGGCGTCATTCCTCAACGAAACTCACCACAATCCCGAATATGAAGCGTTTGGCGGACAGACATACCCATCAACTACAAATTGCTCACATTCGCTGTTTTTACCTCAGAGTCCCTTCTTCCGCATTATTAGGCTGTGTGCGAGTTCGAACAGCACACTAGCGTGAACGAAGATCAAGTCTTATATGGAAGCATAAGCCGTTGGCTTTTAATTTCGATTTTCGAATCAGTAAAGTGATGATTGCCAGGTTTATAATATGCATAATAATTATGGTTATCAAGATGATCATCGTCATGACTGTCAATCGATATCTTGTCTTCCTCAGTTTGAAGTCATGAACCTTTACACAGATATGTAAAAATGTTATTGCTCCAATGTACAGCTAAAGCGTTTCCGTTTAACATCTTGTCTAAAGCTTCTCCGTATTTCTATTTTCCTCATTTAATGTCAACCTCAATTTTACTCTGAAAAACATACATTTGGAAATGTTTTGAAGTATCTGTTCTTTTGCGGTCGTATATAGTTAACATTATACTGACTTGTACATAGAACGTTATTTGACTCTGTTTAGAAGATCGGAGGTTTACTGCTTATGTACGCTTGATCATCAAAGCATGATCTTTTATAGCTGAGATAAAAAATATAAATCTTCAAAAATAAACTGTGCAGCCAGTAGCAGTGACAACAAAACTAAAGAACTAAACCATTTACAAACGGTTGGCATAAGCGCTGTAGGTGAGCTACTGCAAAATGTTCGTAACACGACAAACTGCCATTTTCATTTTCATATTAATCCGCTTTGCTGATCTACATGCTGCTTGTGATATTCGTGACATCTGTTCATCGCATCGTTTCACATCTTAACATGAAGAATAGCTTACTGTATCCAGAAACGAAAGATGCTAATCTCCGTTTACTCAGCTGTATGATCTGATGTGCTGGGCGACCGATGTTTTAGTGTATGTGTTTGTGTTACTTCTGTAAGTGTTGATACGCGACGTAAACGCTGAAGAGTACAAAAGAAAAATTTCGCATTGAAAGGAACGTGCGCTTTTGGATAGAGCTGGAAAACTGAATTGCACCTTTCTGATATGGTGGCGGAGGATCTTATTTGACACTTGATCATATTAATGTACAGAACCTTATGTTTGGAGGGAGTAAAGCAAAATGATGCATGCATGCACTGTTGGTGAATACCTGAATATTTATTTTTGAGCATTTTCTAAACCTACGTACAGAAGCTGACCTTCAACTTGATGCTGTTGTTGCCACCCGCTCTCGGGATGCTTTCGCACCTGCTGTGTGCAGTCCGATAACAAGGTTAACGGCGACGCGAGTATCTTAAGCTTGTTTCAAATACCTTGAGCGATTCCGTGTCACATATTCGTTTGAAGCATTTTTGGAAATTTACCTTTATTTCAAAAATTGACATTTTTTTCGAGCTATGCTCTACATTTGCATATATGACACAGGCAGTACAATTAAATTTTCAATAAAATTTTTTTCGCGTCATTCCCTTGAAGTAGTGTTGTAATCCGATTCGATATGTTAAGCGACAGTCGCTTTGTCGTCCGCTACTTGCCAGTGAAGTTTCCGTGATCAAACCCTCATCAAATGCTGCATTTCTCTGAATCCGCTAGGCAGCGTAGTTCACGGGGTGCTGACACTCCATATGAAGCGCTGGACAATTACTCGCGCAAAAGTGTTTATGTCAAACAATTAAACTTGTAATGTTTTTACTACAGTATAAACAAATGATACGATTTTACCTTATATGGATATGTTATATGCAAGCATAGTATTTTTACTTTTTTGTTTATCAGCTTTGTCTGATCGTTAGAAAGTTCGAAAACAAACAAACGGGCCAATATAATTAATTATGGAAGAAACGATTAGATACCTGGAATAAGTTTTACCTGAAATATTATGTCAGGTTTCTAGCCGTCTTTTTCATAATTTAATATATTGCTGCTAGATATGTCATATGATTTATTTGGTAATTTCTTCTGTCCTTGGTTCTTTCAACTGTTCGTCGCTTGTTCATTCCGTCGTTTATCCCAAATGGATTCATTCATTGTTTCGTTCAAACATTCCTTCATTTCTTTACCACACATTTTTATTTCATTCGTTCACAGTCTTCTCTCATTCATCCATTCATTCGAACCTTTGTTCATTTCATTGCTTAAGTTTTCCTTC